AGTGTGAATCAAAGTTGCCAGACACAAAAAGCCACACGTATAGATTTCATTTACTTATCAAATGTCCAGAATAAGCAAATTCATTGAGGTGGAAGAGAATGGGGCAAATTAAGAGACCACTAACAGGTACAGGATTTCTTTCGGGGGAAAAAAAAATATTAGAAATGTTGCAAATGCTCGGCAATTAGTGGTGGTAGGTACTGAACACTGTGAGTATACCACAAGCCTTTTCATAATGATGTGTTACAAGATGAGCATTACATCCCAAATAAAAAAAAAGGAGAAAAAATAAAAGATGGTCACGTGTGGGATAACAATGCAGTACAGCAAGAATTACGGCCAACACAACCCCCTGCACCTGAATTTCCCCACCAATCCGAGGTTCATCATGGGGCCAGCAGAGCTATGGAACCCAGGGGGCCAGGGGAGCCATCTGGGAGACACAGGACATTCGCATTCAGAGCCCTGGAGAGGCTGGGGGCTGCACACCAGGAAAGCGGGTGTCTTAGTTAACTTTTTATTAAATGTGAGTCATTTGTAGGAAAACAAATGTCCTTGAGGTCATAACAGTAAGTGACACAAATCAGACACACAGAGCTCAAGTACCCCATGGTTTGTTTCCTATGAGAAACCCAAAGCAAAAATAAAGAGCAAAATAGAAAATAGCTAATAGCATCAAGGAGATGGATTTTTTAAAAACAGGAAGGGGATCAAGAGATGGACAGTGGGGGAGGGAGGACAGAAAGAATTAAAATGTGATATGTATATGCACCAACCACCACGATGAACGCCTTCCTTATAGACAGCAAACATACACTAATAAAAATTAAAATCTAAAGAAACAAAAACAAAAAACCCAGATATGATCAGGGCAGGTAAGCAAACACTGGGCTCGGCAAGGAACAAGTCCTGGCTGATTTTGCCTAAGTGATTTCAGTCTGATGCATAGAATAGAAAGGGATGAATCTTGCTCAGGCTTAACCCAGACTGGCATCAGTATGCAGCGTGAACAAAACACATGACTTAAAAGTGTGACACTGGTACCAAGGGAAAGAAAACAGTGCTGCTTCTCCCAGGGGCACTAACCCTGGCCACACAGCTCCGTTCACCAAGATCCAGCTGGGCCAGGGCGTAACACACGGTGTGGTCAAAATGCACCATGAATGTTCACATTGAAACATGCGTGTGTTTTTACAATAAGAGACACATTGCCGTGAATCCCCCTCAAAATCCCCTCAGCTGGAAGCATGTTTACCCCACTGTTCTGGTCCCTTTCTGAACCCCTGCTGGAAGTCCTCCTCTTTAGTTATGCCGCCGTGGCTGCCTCAGTTTCCTGAACTGATTGAAAACACTTCCTTTTCGTGGTCTTTTTGGCCTTGACAGGATCTGCAGGTCATATGGTGTGAGATCCGGTTGAATGAGGGGGACACTCACCATGATGTTTTTGTTTGACAGAAATTGCTGTAAACATGAATCATAAACTGCTTCAGAAAGTGGTGAGAATGAAGTGTTAAGTACGTTTGAAGCAAGCAGAGGATTTTCAGGGCAATTAATGGCTATTTGTCTTCTACTGTAATACATATTTTAAAATTTAAACATACACAGTATTTTTCAATCACACTTCCTATAGCCCAAGAATGGACCACAGAGACCTAATTAAAATGATGTCTGCAGTGCATTTTTAATAAAAAAGAAAAGGATCATGCTTCCTACTTCAAGAGAAAAAAAGCAGAACCTTTGCTGGTTTATATTACAAGATCTTAACTGTGTACATTTGCATTTAAGAGGAGGGTAAGGGCATGGATGAATGTGCAGCTGCCTCTGGTTAGTCTCTCTCCTCGGTATTTGTTTGTTCTCCCAATTATATTTGTTTTTTTGATACATTCCAATTTTCCTCCATAGATTGTACATTACTTTTAAGAACTGAAAATAAAATTGCTCGCCTAAGAAAAAAAATAATGCTTTAATCAAACTTGAACTGAAGGTAAGTCAGGCCAAGAATACTAATGTTAGAAGAACAAAATTTGGGGCAAAGAAAAGAAGTATGCTTTTAAGATAAAGAGAACATTACATAATAGTAACAAGCATCGTTAATAATGAAGACACACAGATACAAATCTACAGCTGCCAAGGAAACTCACAACAAGATGCTGAAATCAAACATTATTAACCACACAGGAAGGAATAGTCATTGTAGGAGGAGATTTTAAAACATCATTATCAAAAAGACTTGGGAAAATAAACTCTTATTCTATCTAAATACACAAAATTGATGTCTGGCGGAATTCAATCCCATGATTACAGTGTGTTGGGGGGTCTTTTCAAGTAGATACAGAGTGTTTACAAAACTGCCAGATACAAAGAACATCTGAATAAAATAATAATAAATCCCCCTTCTAGTCCAAGAAAAGACATTTCTGGTCTGGAGAAAACACTGAGATTAGAGCCCGGGAATGGCAAGAAGATAACGACATTAAAACGGCCAACCACTGGCTCCTGGGTGTGTGGAGTCCAACATGGCCCTAGGAGGTTCAGGAAGTGGGGCTGAAAACACACGCCCACACCACCTGTGGGAGAGGGTCTCACATTCCCATCTCAGACAAAGAAGTTTCAGGACTAGACAGTAAACAGCAAGAAAAGGACTGACTTAGGAAATACACATTCAAAAAGGGGGTGATAGCTGTCTCCCCTTGATGGAGAAAAACCCATTTTACAAATGCAAAAGAAAACCATTTGCAAGGAGAAGAAATGGCCCAACAACAAAATTTTGAACTAGTCTTGTGTTCTGAAGCTGTGTTTTTATATTTAAAATCACAATTTTTCTCTTTTCTCCTTTCCACCATCTTTATTTTTTCTATCCTACTTCAGTCTAACAGAACCAAATTCCTCCTTTCCCTTCCCATACTCAATGAACATCTCTGCTTGAACCTCACACTGAAATGGAGGTTTCATAGCAGGCTCAAGGCTCAGAGGTTCAACCCAGAGGGTCTCAAAGTATGGTCTCCATACTCACCTGGAGCTTGTAAGAAATTTAGATTCTCAGGCTCACTCTGGCCACCTTGAAAGAGAACTTCTGTCCCAGAAGGTTTCCCAGCTAGGACACCTGATACTGAAGGTGTAGAAATACCCTGGCTCCGTCGCCCTGGAGCAACCTGCTCCCTTTGGGTGGGTGGCAGGGGTGGGGGGCTATAAACCAGCTCTCAGGATCCTCCAGGAAATTTCAGCTCCTATGGCCATAGTAACCTACTCTTTGGGGACACCTTCTCATCCCTGTCTTACTTCCCACATCTCATGTGACATTCTCTTCACTTCCCAAACCAACTAATTGCACTCAAATCTTTGTTTCAGGCATCTCATACTAAGATATCTACTGAATGCACTAAATGCCCAGCCTGTACCACACACCCCACTGGCCCTTCACAGAGCTGGGCTTCCACAGGACATGCCTTCAGGTCCACTCGTCCTCTCTGATTGGCCCCCTGAACACTTCCTGGGGAGGAAGCCCAGCAGTGAGTGCTTACTACAAATCAGCCCATCTACAGCTCACCCTGCAGGCCTTGCTTTGTGCCCTGTCCCCAGCACCCTTCCCCAACCCTACCTGGCTCCTCACTCCCTGCCTTCATGCGTAGAGGCACTGCTGAGGTAAGGGGCAGCATGCGTTGAAAGGGCTGCAGAGAAGGGGGCTTAGATGAGTCAGACTCACCAGGCTCAGAGCCTCCAAATGCTCAGATTCTCTTCCTCCCCAGAAGACCACCCACATTATGCTCCGTATCTACAGATAATGAAAAGACAAACCATGACCATCAGCCATCGTACAACGTCATGGATGAGGCAATGTCCAGAGGATTAGGAAAGCACACTTCTGGGTGTGCCTGGTGGGTCATGGAGGTGTGACCTTGGGGACCACATCTAGGCCCTGGCCCCCTTCTTCTTTGGTGCTGTTCCTCTGCTCCGCTTCCCAGCTGACAGGAACTAAGCATCTTCAATCCACTATGCTGTTCTGCCATAATGTTTCTACTGACCATGGACTAAATCCCCTGAAACCATGAGCCAAATTAGACCTCTCCTTCTTTAAACTACGGGAATCTGATATTATGTCTCAGCAACAAGAGTGTAACTAACACAAAGAGAGAAGATAGGGGTGCGGAAATCTATCGCAAAACCAGGCCTTACACACTAGAGGCCCTGGCAAAGGTATATTGCTGGGTCCAGGTGTACTCAGGCCCTTGGGGATGGCTGACCGTTCAGAAGGGAAAGAGGACGTCAACTCCAAAGTGAGAAGTTCAGCTCTGTGTTCCTGTGTTCTGCACCTAACTACTACCTCACTTTCTCTCCTTCAGGGAGATCCTGCTTCGCTTCCTTCTCCTCAGCTCCTGACAGCCAGGGGTGTAGTCCCCTCCCAGTTCTGCAACTGCTCCGAGAAAAAGCCTCTCAGCCTTCAGCAGGCTCACTCCCTTGCTTCTGTGACCGTGATGAGCTTACGAGGTTCTTCCCCACAGCAAGCACAGTGCATGGTGTAGGCTATGAGTGAATGCAGGGCACAGGGCACAGTGCCAGCCTCGACCACACTTCCATGCCACAGCGCTGTCTGACAGTCTCCAGGGTTCGCTGAGGAGTGTTGTCACTGCCACCCACTCTTTGATTTTTATATTTTCTTAAGGTCCCGGCAGTGATTCTGATACAAAATGAACAGTTTCCCCAACACAGAACCGAACTTTTATTTTTTTAACCTTTTAGGAAAAAACAATGCAGGCAGCAGTTGGAGCTGGTAGAGGAAGAATTCAGCTCTTCTCTGTTAAGTGCTTTAGGTGATGTGAAAAGGGAGCCTGAGATCCCTACCTAGCAGTGTGTTCTTAAGAGCCCGGGAGGGAAAACACCAGCATCTGCCTTGACTTCTTCTTCCTGTAAAACAGCTCCCTCTCTCAAGTGCCCCCTGGGAGGAAAGTGCCCTTCCATCCTGCTGACCACATGATCCTGCATGCGGGTCGCAGCCCCCTTACCTTCGTCGCTGTTGTCATCCACCAGGATGATTTCCTTCAGCAGGTGGGTAGGCGTGTGGTTGACAGCGCTGTGGACAGACCTCAGGATGACCGACAGGGCCTCGTTCACGAAGATGAAAATGATGGAGATCTGGGGCAGCTCCTTGGAGTACTTGAGCTCCTTGCACCTGGGGAGAGAGAGGAGAAAGCAGCTTAGAGGCAGCGTGAAGGCAATTCTGCTGTGTTCAGGGGGAGACATTTCATCTGTTTCTCACACACGGCTTCCTAAGGCAAGAAGAACAGCTCTCTCTCAGCATCTCCCTTGCTAAGAGCTGAGAATGAACCACAGGGAGGACAGTGTCAAAGGGTCCCACCTCCCTGAAATCACCCCCACCTCAAGGAAGGGGAAAGACCCATCTTGGGGACACAGCTCCTTGTGCTTAGCTGTATCATCCTGCTCTGTCGTGGCCCTGGCTCAGTGCACATCTGTGCCACATTTTACCCCCAGCACTTGGACTTCCTCACCTGGAACCTTCTTTCCTGACGTTCAAGCTACCCCCCTGCCTGCAAAGCTCTATCTAAATGTCACTGGGAGTCGATGGACAAATACCCCAACTCTGCTGCCCCTTCAGAAGCTTCTCTCCCAATCTCCCAGCCAGATTAAGGCCCCAGAACTCACAGCAGCAATCTGCATAGCACAGTTTTGGGAATAGCTTCCTTAAGTCCTGTCCGCCCTAGCAAAGCTCCCTTCATCTCCCATATAATGTATTTGCACTCATCCTTCTCCCAACGTTTGTTTTATGAGGATCCAAACTAACAGTTAGGTTCTACCACTCCCTGTGCATAGCATGTTAGACACCAGAATAAAGGCAGGCTGGGTGTGGTGGCACATGCCTCTAATCCCAGCATTCTGGGATTACAGAATCCTCTGCTGAAGCAGGAGGATCACGAGTTCAAACCCAGTTTCAGCAACATAGTGATTTAAAAAGATCCTGTCTCAAACTTAAAAGGGATGTGGCTGGGGCTGTAGTGCTGTCCCCACTCCACTATACAGGAAGCCCTCCTAGACTCCCTCTGCAGGCAGGAGCAGCACTCTGTGCTCAAGACATGCTTTGCAGGAGTAACCAGCCACCTCTCACACATGCAGGAAGACAGGGACTCAAGGACAAACCTCCTTCTCCTCCAGACAGGCCCCCTTGGGGTTCCAGGTGATGCAGAGGAGCCTGGGCTTCCCTACTGCCACGAAAGCACCAGCCTCCATCTAGACCACACTGAGGAAGAATGTCATGCTTGGTCTCAGCCATCGGAAATACCAACCAGAAAAGAAGCAGACTGCGGTATGGAGATTTGCACATTTTAATGCATCCTCCTCCCCTGCAAGAGGACACAGGATACAGAGCACCACGCACGGTGAGGGAGCAAAACAAGAGAAAGGAGACTGAGGGATGGAGTGTGTAGGATAGAATGCTGAAGGGGAGCAGCGAGACATACGGCTGCTTTTTATGCTGAACAGCTTGGGCTGTGTCGGGCCATATTAATCACAGAGGCAATTTTCAGAAGAAAATAAAAGTTTTGTTACAATATACATTGGTGTCTCCTGGAGGAGAGCGTCCAGGGATCCATTGATCACGCAGCCTCATTTTTACTCTGTCGCTGTAAATCCACTTCTGGGGGATGCCAGGGAGATTAGGAGGGCTGTTGGCAGGTGCCAGCTCTGGCTGTTGGCGGGAAGCACCTCACTGATGGGGTGGTAATCTAGGGGGGTGAGGGTGCGCCAGGAGGTCCCTGGGGGCCCCCTCCTAAATCCTGGGCCTGGCAATCCTGCAGATGCTCCAGCCTGGCCCATTACTCAGGCTGCACACAGGCAAGCTCACCGCACACCCCAGCACTTAATGCAGGGCTGCTCCCCCGCTCTGCTTTCTGGAGACCTGTGCTCTTATCAGCCTCCGGGCCTTGCAACGGGCAGGAAAGGCCAGATGTCATGCACCACACCGACTTCTCTACCCATGGGTGAAGAGCAGGCTGCAGTGCAGGATGGAACTGGACATTGAGCTCCCTGGCCGGCATGGAACTACCTCTTGACAACATGAGAAACAGAAAAGCCTCTGGGAAATGGAGTCCTCAGTCATGATCTATCATGGGTCCAGGTGGCCAGGAATAAATCAATAAATCACTGGGGATTTAAGAAATGAGAAGTGCACTGCTACGCACAGTCCACGTGGTCCTGGGCTAACAACTCGCTGTGCCACCTCTGTACCCTTCAATTCCTCCATCTGCAAAACTGTGAAGTGAGCTGGGAGTGGGGGTGCACAGCCCTAAGCCTAACACTCGGGAGGCTGAGGTAGGAGGATCGCAAGTTCAAGCTCAGCCTGAGCAATTCAGCAACTTAGTGAGACTCTGTCTCAAAAATAAAAAGATAAAATATAAAGACCAGAGATGTAGATTGGTACAAAAGCCTTGGGTTTCGATCCCTTGTGCTGCAAGGAAACTGGTAAATGATCATATTGCCCAACTCCAGGCTTCCAGTAAGGATCAAGTGACACAGAACCTTAAGATCTCCAGGAGACACTGAAGTACTCTCCAATAAAAGGTTTTGAGCTGCCTAGCTGGTGCCTTTCTTCTCCATTCTGGCTTCTTTGCTCCTTTTCATGCATCCCTAATGACCGTGGACTGACTTCTAGAACTTTCCCTTAACTCAGGTCCATCCCATGGGGCCCACCCAAGACTCTCCTCCCTGCAGAGCCCAAGACTCTAACACTGCCCAGCTAACAGTCACCTGTCCTGGAACTGCTGTCCTCAGGGTCTCATGCATTTGGGTCCAAGGAAAAACCAGCACAGCGAAAGAGCACGCAGAGGACCGCTGCTCATGTCCTGGCTGCCAGGAAGCAGAGAGAAGAGAGGAGCTGTGGACAAGAATGCATCTTTTAAGGTCATGCCCCCAGTGACCTTCTCAGGCCAGCCTCACTTCCTAAGAGCACATTCAGCCATGGATGAATCTAATCGTACAGAGTCCCCATGACCCTCCAAAACCCCACTTTTCAGCAGAGATTTTGGCAGGTGTTTTAGATCTAAACCACAACAGTGCTTCTAGCTTACTGTCTCAGAGAGAAGATGCTTAGAAATGCTGGACGAACAGAAAGACCGGCAACTGATGCACTAAGCACTCTCTGTACGGAGCAGCCTCGGACACTGACTGACACATGTGCTGCTTCAGTCAGAAACCCAACACCATCTCACAGGGCAGATGGATCCAGGAAGGGAGAAGAAGGTGGAGGGGGAAAGTGAGAAGGAGGACTCCAGCCACAGGAACAGAGCAGGACCAGAATCGGCTCCTGCCCCTGGGAGGTAAGGATGAGCCAGTTTCCACTATGGCCTGAGGACCTAGTGCATTTACATACATGTCCTGCACCTTGCTATGGAGCTGGGGTGCAAGGGACTCCCCAATCTTGTGTGGTGCTCAGTGCCATGTTAGGCATGCTGATCTCTGTGGCCCAGAAATAGCCTAAGAAGGGAGCATCCAGCTAGGAGCCTGGCTTCCTGTGCCCCCATATGACCCTGACACACTTCTGGCCTCCACTTTGGTCTTCTGGGGGCAAACAACCTGAAAGTTTTTGAGGATGAAAGAACAGATTCTAGATGCGAAAGATGTTCAGGAAACAAGCAGGGGATAGTCCCCCACATAAACTGCAACACTGCCAAAATCTATCGCTGGGGGTGTTGCATGCACCCCTGAATCAGATCTGGGTCCCATAAAAGGACAAATTTCCTCCCAATAACTATTTAGTAAGCAATACACAATCTTGTGCATGAAAAAGGACTGTTGGCAGGAAAGCTATCTTGAGGTCTGGATCAATTGCAATCAATGCCCAAGGCCAGAAGAGGGCTACAAAAAAATTCAAAACCAGGTTCCTCCTCTCCAAGGGCTGCTGGAGTAACAGATCCTCAGTGAGGCTGCTTCACACGAAGAAGGAAAAATAAGCAGAGACAAAAAACTAAGGAGAGGAGGCCTCTGGGTCCATGGACGTCAATGCCCACGTGTCCACTAGCCCTTCCGTTCACATGGCCAGTGGGACCTCAAACTCCTCAACTCCCCAAGGGTGACCATTTGTTACCCCTCCCACTCGTTCCTGCCTCTACAGCCACTGGCAATGACGTCACCCGACACCAAAGGTGCCCACAGTCTTTCTCCATTGATGGTGACTTGGGGATTGGGCCACCTGTAGGAAACCACCAGCAAGAATCACAGATGAAACAGAAGGTTAAGGCTTGAGACACCCCCACCCCCACCCTCACCCCACAGGAAAGGAACCCAAGACCCAAGAGTGGCTGCGCCTTCTCAGAAGCAGACCCCTGTCCTCAGGTGATCACTTTTTAAGGCCACACTGCATAGGACCACAATGTGGTACAAATGAGAGACACAGTAAGACACACTTGTGGCCCTGTCTGCCAACCTGAAGTCAAACTGATGTCCCCATGACTGTAAATGGACTTAGATGTGATGTGGTCCAGGAGGTGTGGTGGGTGGATTATAGATGCTTCTGCTGATGGCGGTCATGACAAGTGACATTTACCTAGTGCAGGTTGCATGAAAGAAACCCACAGAAGCTTCCATGCACTGGACTGTCTTGTCTCTCACAAAATCTTATGAAACTAGGCAATATCATCATGCCCATTTCACAGATGAGGAATGCTGGGCCCAGAGAGGTGAAGTCACTTATCCTAAGTCATACAGAAAGTCTGAAAAACACACTCAAGGTACCTGGTTAAGAACTCACCTTGAGGTGCTTAAACTCTTCTAACTGCCACTGCCTGGCCATGGGAGCCAAGGGAGTTGTAGTGGCAAAACTCCATGTGGCTTCCTGCTCAGCATTTAGAAGCTGGAAGGCCATAGCTAGGTCCTATATCTAAGTGGGGCCCCTTTTCTTCATATCTACCCTAAAAGTCTCCAGAAGGGGATAGTTTTCTGAGGCTGGCCGCACCATGCCCTTCCAGTGTGCAGTGGCTTTTCTAATCGAGGGCGGGCCAGGGGAATACTCTTCAGGAGGGGTATGAGTAAGAAGAAATGAACCTGCCCTCACCCTCAGGTTATCATGACTATGAGGGATGCAGGCAAAGCCCCTAGTGTCCTAGTCTGGACATGGTGCACACTGAGTGGTCCCCTCTCGGGGTGTTATCAGAAGCCTCCCCC